AATAGAAAGGTAACATGTGGCAATGGATACAAGATTTCATTGTCTTGGGATGAAGGGGAGGCAGATGCATGCTGTATACACACACACACACACACACATGCGCGTGCGCGCGCGCGCACACACACACACACACACACACACACACACACACACACACACACACACACACACACACTATCTGTTTTAACAAGTATCTTCTATGTACCAGGCAGTACAATAGGCAATGGAGGGTTCAATGAAAAGCAAGACAAAATAATAACAACTCCCTGTCTTTCTTGAATCTGTAGATAGGAAGACTTTATACATCTTTAAAAGAACTTAAAAAATACTTTACACAACATTTAAATAAAACAGCTTTTAGGTGATTGTTTTGCATATACTTCCTCTAATCATTAGTGGGATAATTTAGTCAGGTTATTAAGCAGAGCCAAAACAAGCAAACAAAATGGTTGCTTTCTCCATTTACCTCACCACTCTACAGTTATCAAATGATGGAAAGAAAATGCAATTCCCTGGGCTTCATGCTTATTCCTACTTGGGAATGCCCATCTCTTTTTTCTTAATAATTTATGTAGCAGCAGGAGAGCACTATTCCCTAAAAAACATCAAAAATATAATTTAGTTCAAACTAGGGTGTTTATCTCGTAGATTTGAAAAGGGGCCCCCCAGAAATCCAAATATCAGTTTCTCTGTGGAATGGGTAGGGAATTTAGTTTTCCCAATAGAAGGGGAGGCTGGCAGGTTTTCTCGTATAAATGATATCAAAGAAAAGTGATGATTCCACTAAGTCAGGGATAATATAACCACTTCCTTAAATAACACCTGACACACAAAGGCAACATGGAGGAATGTCATAAATTTTTATCTATGTCAGAGCTTGGCAAATATTTTTTTGCAAAAGGGCAGATAGTACCTATCTTAGACTTTGCAGGCTGTATCCAGTCCCTATTGCATGTTCTTGTGTTATTTTTTCAAAAGCTCTAAGAATATAAAAGCTATTTTTGTCTTGTGGGCAAACAAGCTGAAGCCATATCAGGTCCACAGGCAGTAGTTTGCCTGTTCTTGATCAAGTTATCTGAGTCATTCTTTTACTCCAGTGGGATATAACCATACTGACATGCAGTGAATAGTTCTCTTTCCCCTCCTTATATATAAACTTATCATTCAAATGTATACTAGGTATCGTCCTTGTGCCTGCTGCACTAGAGATTACAAAGATCACCATTACGTTCCAGACCTCAAGGAGAAGTGAGATAATTGTGAAAGTAAACAAAACATAAGGCTGGCCACAAATGGCACTGATAGTTGTCAGAGAGGCTCCAGAAGACTCCTTAGAGAAGGTGGCTGTTTGAATAAGTCCTCAAGGATCGGTGACCACTGCTGCTGAATCCATATCGTCTCCATCTTATTTTCCTTCTTCACTGATACAACAGTTTCTTGAGAACAAGTATGTGACGTAATCAGCTGTGTTTCACAGCTTCTCTTGTAGCTAAGATTAGTGTGTGATATAATCTGACCAATGAAATATATTTGGAAGTTGCTTTATGAAGAAACCTAAAACCTCCTTTTTAAAAAAGAGGTAGACTTAGCTGCTATGTGAGGTTTTCCCTTTTCCCTTCTTCCTGCCTGGAATGTAGATGTGGAATTGACAATGGAGCCGTCATTTTGTAAACATGAGGCGAGATCCAGAAGGTTAAAATCTAAAAGTAGCCTGGGCTTCTCATGATTCTGTGAAGTCATATTACCAGTTCTGGCCAGTCATGTCTGGACTTGTTTTTACACAAGAGAAATAAACTCCTTACTTATGTGAGCTATTTGCCAGCTTTTCTGGATACAGATAGGTTGGATCACAAGCAGAAAAATTTGTGAAAGGTCGTTCCAAGGAGAGGGGCAGAATGAGCCAAAAAACTAAGATTTGAAAGTATGGAGTTTGAAAAATAGAACACACTTGGTTTAGCTAGAGAAAAAGGGTATGAGAAAGAATGCATGTTCAAAGAAATTAAAATGTGTATTGTTACCAGATCATGAAGTACTATGCATAAAGAAGTTTGAGCTTCTTTCTGTCATAAACGGGAAATTTAAAATATCTGTTCAGGCAGGAGCTTGACAAGGGAGATGATATGGACAGTATCATAGTGTATTGGAAGCAGGTGAAAGGACTAGAGTTAGAGAAATTGTTTAGGACTTTTTGTAGTAATCAGGTTAAGAATAAATGAGAACGGGTGGGAGTGGTATTGTAGAATGAAACGGTGGGAGGTTAGATGTGAGCAACATTGCAAAGTTGTATTTGAAATCACCCCTCAGTTTATGGCCTCATAAATTTTTGTTTTCTTTGGCTCTTTTCTTAAAGGCCATTTTATGAAAGAGAATGACTTTGTTCCTTGCTTTACAAGAAACCAATTTTTTTATGAGCTTGCTGAAAAAGAGCAATTGCTATAATCTATTAAACATGATCAAGAAACACAATACAGAATGCAATTGGTCACATGGACACCCATATGAAACTGTGGCTATATTTACCAGGCATGTAGTTATAACAAGCTTTCTTCTTAGTACAAGGCTATGCTTTTTCAGGGGGTGGCAAGCCGACAAGAGATAGGGAAGATTCTGGTTTCGCGACAAGTAAGAGTCAGCAGGGATGATGGAAAACCCAGGGACAAAACAGAAGCAGGAAAAGATTACATACATATATCCTATTTTGTTTCTCTTGTTATTCTTTTTGGTACTTAACCTGATCTATTTATAAACTGATGTATTATTCACTTGCTAAACTTACTTGCTAAGAATCAAAGGCAAAAGATACCTCAAAATATCAACACACAGAAAATAAACATATGTAGCTTTCAAGTTCATCTTCGTTATGCTGAGAACATATCTAAATACCTTTTAAAATACAGTTTACAGATCGGTCCTGGTCTGGTTTTTCAAAAGCATGTAGGGTGTGTTTATTCCACAGTAACAGTCTATATTCATTGCGGACTATTTTCTTGTGTTCCCTTCCTCCTCCTCTTCTCTAAATTTACTCAAGTTTTCAGACTGTTTTTCATAAGATGTGATATCTAGATGCTGCATCTTTCAGGATGCGTGGTCACATTCCAGTTTACAAGTGTTTTTCAAAATGTGGAGCTCTGAATTATGCAAGATACCATAGATATAACATTTCTAGCATAAAAACAGAAAAAATTAATACCTTATATGAAGGAAGAGTAAAGAATATCTAGAAAGTTCTTGATTTTTTTTTTTTTTTACCTTGAGCTTGGAAGAATAGCGGTAACTGCTTATGTGATCTTATGATAAAGCAACTGATTTGGTGCTAAAATAAGAATATTTGTTTTAATTATATTGGTGGTAAGATTACAATAATAGTAGTAGAAGTAGTAGTAGTTTACATTTACTGAATGGATGCCTTTTTCATGCCAATCATCCTTCTAAGTGAATCATGTTCAGCAACTCATTGAATCTTCATTACAACATAATGAAAAAAATCTACTGCAATTACCCAAATAAGCAAGGGAAGAAAGGTTAGGGAGTATTAGCAATAGAGATGATAGTAGAAGCCACCTTAAGTTCTCCAAGGGAGTAAGACAATTTAGAAAAAAAACACCCTTCTTATTTATTCTTATTATCAAAGTTCCATGTGTGTTAGTGTATATTCTAAACTCAACTTGTTTCCAATAATGTGTTCATTAATGGGTTTGAAAATATTTTGGTTAAAAGGGTTTTTATAAAACTCGAAATAAGATACATTGATTCTTAATGGATACATTTTTGGAAGAGCGCATTTTCCCACGGCAGTAAACAGTGTCCTGGTACAAAAGGATGGTGCTGTGCCCATGCCCTACTTACTGTTGACGTGATCACACCTACAGACATCTGCACCCACAGACACTAATTATAATCTAATCTGTCCCTGTAAGCTTTCTGTCTCTTTTTCTTTCATTTTTGTTTTTTCCCCTTCTACCTAGTGTATTTGAACCGGAGAGGGAAAAGCACTTTCAGATGTTAGGAGAACCCACGACCCTTCCCCACAAACCATGTGGTCAGATGGATATCCTGAGGAGGGTGTTTCAAGAGAGGTGGCAATGTC